GGGAACAAAAAATTTTTTCTAGGGAATGGGAAAAAGGGAATGGGAACAAAAATTTTTTTAGGGAATGGGAAAAAGGGAATGGGAACAAAAATGTTTTTTTAGGGAATGGGAATAGGGAATGGGAATCAGAAAAAGTCGTTCCCGCAGGATACTACCCCACACCCACACCCTCAAGCATTCAATAGAATTCTTTCGATATCTTTATTTTGCTCGAGTACTTGAAGCTTCAATAAGTATCGACGGATCAAAAACTTCTCAAGGAGTCGAACATGGCTCTCCAATTGGACAATTTTCGAGTGCTCGAAATAAAAACAGAACGAACAAAAAAGTATATATTTCACATTTTCAAGCGCTCGTCGCACCCATGGTATGCATTTTATTGTGTGCGTGGGTAAATTTCTTTTTCTCTCAATACAAAAAAAAAACTTTTTTCTTGATGTTTTTGTTGAGTGTTTGTCGTCGGGTGTCCTTTGGGAACAAACAACATACGAATAAATGTTTCAATAAAGCAAACTCATTGGGTTTTTTGGATTCATGATGACATAAGTTCTTATGTTGGAAATATTTTTTGTATTGGTAAAGAAAAGTCATTTGAAAGTATGTAATACATGCAAACCTAAATTTTTTAGTGCATGTACTACTAATGTAACCTTAAGAACTACTGATGATTCTATGATTTCGATTAATTTTATCATCACGCGCCAGCAGGATTCTCATAATTGGAGTTTATCATCTCTCCATGAACAATCTTCCAATATCCAGAGGTCTCAACACTTCTTATTAGAGGTGGATCATTTTATTTAAAGCGACTTAATTAAGATTTAATATAAAATTGAATTTTTATTTACCACTCAATTCACTTAAAATTAAATGTTTGAAGTGATTGATATAACATGTTAGTAATAGACTATTACCAGAATGTTACATCTATCACACCAATCACTAAGTTTTAAGTGAATTAAGTGTTACAAAAAAATTTAGTTGAATATTAAATTAAGGTAAGATGTTCACCCCTACTTTCTATCACATTAAAAGCACATCAAGTAAATTGCATTTTTATTTGCGAGTGTTCTCTTCCAGCCTATCGGCACGTGGAAATGTTTCAACACATTTGAGTCAGTACACAAAAAAAATCTCTTAAAAAATTTCTTTGATTTGGATTTTTTCCCACTAGATTTCTTTTCTCTCGCCTTTTAAAAACCCAGCGTTGCCACTTATTTTGGAATAAGTAAACTCAAAATAACGTTCATTGCAATCAAATCGTACAATACAAGTAAGTGCTATTCATCTAGTTCAGAGGTTGGTTATCGCTAACTTTATTAAGAACTTGTTGATTGCTAAAAAGTTCTACAAATTGAGTGAATATTTTTTTGTTTTAAACCAACTCCTTTTTCATTAAGAATTGATCATTGAAAAACACTGACTTTATGATCCTTCTTCTTGTTACTACTCTTTTAACAATACGCTAGATTCAGTTTGATGATCAGACTAAATTGAAAAAAGAAAAAAAAAGTGTTCCTCTTACCGATGAAAGAAGTCAATATAATATCCAGTAGAAAAACATAAACGTTTACTGTCGGAAATAACACCAAATTTGTCGGAAGTAACCGAGAAACGCAGGAGACTCTCCAATCCAGGATACTGCTTTCATTTTCTGTCGATTGACAATGTTTTTCTTGACATGAGAAAAAGTTTTTTTTTAACTTTACAAAAACAAAGAGAATACTTCCTATTCCGCGATGTTGCACATTGCGGAATCAGTTTCATGCAATTCCGGGACCTTGAACATCATTCAACAAACTGAGATTATTCGAGAACGATCGAGTTACCTCAATTCTCGGAATTCCCGAATTCAATGAAAGCGGAATCGGTGGGAATTCCGTCTGATTCCGGAATTACAACCACTTATAGTATTCTGTTATTCATTACCCATTTACAGATGACCCAAGTCCTGAGTTCCCGACTGGAATTGGATCATCACTACATGGATAAGAGATGATAGAATAATGTTAGAGGTTGTAGTTCGGGAATCAGACGGAATTCATAGGAATTCCCACCGATTCCGGTTTCGCTGAATTTCGGAATTCCGGCATTGAGGTAACTCGATCGTTCTCGAATAATTCCAGTTTGTTGAATGATGTTCGAGTTCCTGAAATTGCATGGAACTGATTCCGCAATGTTGCACATTGCGGAATTGGATGACTACTCAAAACAAATATGTTTCTCAGCAAGCACTGCTAAAGTTTGGGTCCGAATGGTTTACAAAATCATACATTTAGAGATGAAAACATACTGCACATAAAATGTATTTCAGAGTTGAAAATTATTCATCTTGTCGTTCACAGTTTTACTATCATTGTTTAACCATCCATATAGTATAAATTGTTTAATCAAAGAAAAAAGACACCAGAATGCTTATTTGAACTGTTTGAAGATCTTATTACAATTCTCATTTCTTTGAAAATCGTCTAAATTCTTGACATCAATAATGAAGCGTACCACACTGTTCAAAATACTAAAATAATTTACTTCGTATATCAACGACGATTATTTTAAAAAAATTCCCCACATTTCTGTGGTTATCCGGGTTATTATCGACATATTTCTGATAATAACATTATATGCCCCTACTTTGCATTAGCTAACTGAGTAAACTGCTCCTAATAACTGCATACGAGAAGAGCTCTTCTTTTTCTTTGGATCTTTCTATATTAGTGATGAATAGTAGAATCACTCTGTTGATCCAAATAAAAAAAATATCCCATTAATCAAGAACAAGGAATAGTTCTTTATAGTATCTATTTTAAGTCATTTTAGTATCAATGCTCTCGACAAAATACAATGAAAGTGCTGATGATGGTGGTGATACTAATCCTGAACAATTGGTCGATCACCTTGAGAAAATGAACATATCAGATGGTAGTATTTGCAGCTCAGATGTACAAGGCAATACCTGTACTTCTTCGACCAATTTCTCCAACACTATACACTCAGTAGTACCTGGTTCATGTGATGTAATTATCAAATATCAAGTGCCAGTTCAAAAAAAAGATTCATCCTTGTATGCGAAACCTTCATGTAAACACGGTTTAAAATGTTTCAATACGAATTGTCCACTTGATCATCCACCAGAACGGCATATATGTCAGAATGGATCGCATTGTAAAGATTATTACTGCAAAGCAAATCATCCATATAATCGAAAGAAACCGTGCTCATATGGGCGTAAATGTAGGAATACCTGGTGTAAATTTCTGCACCCTTCTAATATATCTGGAGAATGTCCCGCAGGAAATCAATGTCGGGTTTGGCAATGTTCAGCACATCATCCAGATACAAGGCCGAAAGATTGTCCGTTTGGTGAAGCGTGTTATAACAATGCCTGTCGATGTCCTCATCCACCCACTCGACAATTATGCTCAAATGGCACTGAATGCAAGGAATTCTACTGTCGACTTAATCATCCTCTAGGTCGAATGGCGCAATGTGAACAAGGTAATGCATGTAGTAATTTCTACTGTGAGTATTTACATCCTCCCGAATGGGACCCATGCGAAGCAGGTAGCAAATGTGTTGATATAATGTGTTCTCATACGTCTCATCCTCCTGATCGAATTCTGCAGCAACAGCAGCAAGAAAACAATAATCAAGAACTAAAATTGCCAATTGCAAAACCACTGAAATCCATCGAACAACGGCAGGTCGAACGACAGAACAAACCACTTCCCATTCTCGCTGCACAAGATGAATTTTGTCGACGATTACAGAAAGAACGAGTGCTCGTGGTTAGAGCAGAGACTGGTAGCGGCAAAAGTACACAGCTTCCACAATATGCTGCTGAATATTTTGGTGGACTAGTCGTTTGTACTCAGCCACGAGTAATCGCAGCGATTTCACTTGCGCGTCGCGTAGCCAATGAATATGATGGAATTTCAGTGGGTAAATCGGTTGGCTACCGAGTTGGTCATGCTAGTGTAGGTAAAGACAATAATCGAGTTCCTGGAACAGATATACTCTATGTGACTGATGCAGCCCTAGTTCAAGAGAATCAAGAGAGTGGTATATTACGTGACACTCGAGTATTAATCATCGACGAGGCGCATGAACGCAGTTTATATACCGACATTGTTATCGGTATGGCAAAAATATTATTAGATATGAGACCAACCGATTTCTATGTTGTCATATCTTCAGCTACCGTTGATCCTAGCAAGTTTCTTGATTTTTTTCAATTAACTGATTCTTCGATACTCAACGTTCCAGGCCGTTTGTATGATGTTCGTACTAGGTACGTTCCTAATCCGTCTGGTTCTATTGTGGAACATGCCGTCTCTATATTATTGAAATTATATGATCAATTTCAAGGACATACACTTGTATTTCTTCCTGGTGCACGTGAAATACAACAAGCTATTGATCTGTTTAATCGTAAAGTACCTAAGAATTGTGTTGCCTTGCCTTTGTATGCTGCTCTCTCACCAGAAGAACAAAATCAAGTTCTTCAATTTGACGAAGGTCCAAACAGTGAATTGCGAATGGTAGTTTTCTGTACAAATATTGCTGAAACATCAGTGACAATTAATAATGTTCATCTGGTCATTGATTCTGGACTGGTGAAAGAACCTCGCTTCGATAACGAACGCCGTTTGCCGATTATTGAAACAGTGCAAATTTCTCGTTCATCTGCCGATCAACGTACAGGCCGTGCTGGCCGTACAGCACCAGGCTATTGCGTTCGACTCTATGAAGAAACAGATTTGACCCGTCAAAATATTGAACCGGCAATTCTTCGATCTTCACTTGATCTCGTTGTTCTTCGAATCATATGTTTGCGACTCGATCCAATGGAGTTTCCATTCATCGATCCTCCCGACGCAACCATTATCGAAGCAGCACTAGATCTTTTGAAAGAACTTTCGTGTATCGACACAGATCATTTCATTACTCAACGAGGTCAACTTTTCAACGAGCTCGGTTTCGATCCTTGTTACAGTGCATTCTTAGTTGATACCTACCTCGAACATGGTCCTATTCTGGATTTATTAGCCAGTGTTGTTCCTATTTTAACAACACCTAGTTTTCGGTCCGACATGGTTGGTGCATTAGAAGAAGAGAAACAGGCTGCTCGCAATCGTGTTATTGATGGCGCTAAGGAACACTACAGTGATTTATTGTATCTCGTTTCAATCTTCAAAAAGTGGTGTGCCTCAGGGTCTATTGATCCAGTTACACGCTCTTGTCAAATATGTCATATGCGTTCTACAAAAGAGTCTTCGTGTGCTTCTTGCCGGGCAGCGTACAGTAGAATGCATCTACTCAATAATCGAGTTCTGTGCATTATCGAGAATTTATATGAGACCACAATCAAAGTACTTACAAATCCGCATTGGCAGCTCAATCCTGGTACATTAGTCGATGCGAATGAAAGCGATATTCTTGGCATCAATCTCGTAAAGCATTTTCCAGGACGACGCGGTCAAATATTGCCAATACGTGCTCGTTTTAAAGATGCTGTTATGGTTCAAAGTGGCTTTTATGCGGCCTTAAGTGATTCTAGTGTTTTTTCTCATCGAAAAATTGTCAATCCTCATTTTATCGCAATGTCAGTCGTGAAACTATCTTCTGGCACTTATTTAATTGATCAATTGCATCCATGTCAGCCACCATCTGAAAGTAGCGAGCAATCCATCATAACAGATCCAGTTGTCAATTCATAGGCATCCGTCTAATTTGACGGTAACAGACAGAGAAAGAATATTATTCTAAGCATTTATTCTTTGATCAATGTAATTATAATCTTTTCGCTTAAAAGTAGTACACCATGTTTATCTAACGCGTTATACTATTCTTGAAGAACAAATAAATGAGTTATCTTATATTGAACTTGAATAAATCCTTAATAATATTTTTCATACTTTTCTTGATGTACAACATTTCAATGCTTATCACATACATATCTAGGCAAGACATTTAGTTTTTCAAAAATATCAATTCGCTAACTAAAACTAATACTCAAACGCATGAATAAGACTATAATATATACATTTTCTTAGTGGCAAAGGATTGCTTGAACTAAATAGAAATGAATTTATTTTTACAACCATTTAGATTTAATGCTAAACTTTATCTTAAACATCAATTGGTTGCAAACAAAAGAAAAGATTGTAAATAGTTTGTTTGCAATCTAAATCGTCACAAAAAAAATATGGTATGCTTGTCAAACGGTTTATAGAATAATTGTTCAATAAACGTAAAGAATTTATAGATAAGACTGTAAAATTTGCTGCTGCACAAAGAAGAATGAACATGAGTGTAGGTGGGAAGAAATGCGTGGATGTGGAATGAAAGAACACTTACACCCCACCCTTATTCATCAATCTAATTCTCTTGTTTCACATAAGCAAAGGATACATCAAGACAGTGAGGAATATGAGAATCATCGCGAAAGAAAGTTTCTGTGCCACATAATCCATTTTCACATCTGAACAACTTCTTACTAGCCTGAAAGGCAATGATGTATGTGTGAACGTAGAAGTCTTGCGCTATCGCATTTTAAATCTATTTGAAATCGAAGACGTGTGTAAATGAGTACAGTCAATGTCCCTAATAAGAACAGGTGTGCTAATACCCTCGGTTATTTTCTATTTTTCTCAAGCATTTCCCAACATAAAAAAATTCTTTTTGCATTTCTGAGTAGAGGAGCACTTGGCGCATCCAGTGATACAAAAATGAGCTAATTATCTCAAAAATTGATTGAGTAATTAGCGGTATATTTTTGAGAAGTGAATTTGTTCGTATTAGGAGCCATGTTCCTAATAAGAACGACAAGCTAAAATTTGTTCCTAATACGAACACTCAATG